GTGACAGGCGATTAAGTCATAAACAAAAGGATTGATAAATATTTGTATTAGGTCATAACAGAGGGAAATTCAACGTAGCAGAGACTAGTTGCATGAAAATTATTCAGCGTAAAGATGATGTGATAAAATTTATTCTAAATAACAGACATTTGTTAAAGTGTTCACTAGTTTAGCGATGGTGATTAGCCCTAGGACAAAAGGTGTGCCTATTTAACAAACATCAGTGATAATGGTGTTCTGTTCATGGCATTCATAGATCAAAGTAACGCTGATCAAATCAAATCGTATATTTCAATAGGAAATCACAATTATGAGGAATGAATAATCAATCCTTGATCCGACTACTATTCAATATGAACGAAAATAACATGACTGGTTGTGATTTAGAAACTAAAAGACGAATTATCTAGGCCAATCACCCCTTTGATAAAAGAATAAAACTTGTGCACTGTGGTAGAGTGTAATTCCATTATAGGTAAAAATTTGTTTTGATAAAGTCTCACAGTGTTATACAGTAATGTTTACTGATGACGTTTTGGGCAAAATTTATTGCTCATAAACATATCAGGATACTCACACGACTTCCTAACTTCATTTATATTTTTACATTTTTCCTTCACGTTCCCCAGTGGAACATAAGGCTTCAAGCTAGAAAGCTTGAAGTTTCTGTCGCAGTGTTAATTTTACAAGATGGGGTTGTTAGCCTCATGCTAAACCTTTCCTCTTTACCAGCTTTATTTCTGGCTTAGCGAGGTAAAGGAGTGCGTTGGTGGCCGGGTATCGAACCCCGGACCATGTGCATGGTCGGCGAGCATCCTAACCGCTAGGCCACCGACGCACATTTATATAGTTGCATTATTTTTCATTTGATTTGCACTTGATTTGATTGGTAGTAGTATTTCCCATATTTTGGGTATGAATGATGAATCATTCCTATTACATGTGTTGGGTGTAGACTCGATGAACAAGGATTCAGTAATCAACCTCTCTCTCCATCTACCTAGATTACGTTTTAGAATTTTAACCCCCTCCCATCTTATTGTGTGGCTGTGTGTTAATGTATGCATTGCAATTGCTGAGCTTTTATCTAAATTATTTATATTCTTGGGGTAAATAATTTGGGGGGGCGGTTAAAACTCCAAAACGTAATCTAGGTAGGTGGAGAGAGAGGTTGATTACTGAATCCTTGTTCATCGAGTCTACACCAAACACATGCAACAGGAATGAGTCATCACTCATACCTGAAATATGGAAAATACTACTGCCAATGCAAATCAAGTGCAAATCAAATGAAAAATAATGGAACTACATAAATGAAGTTAGGAAGTCGTGTGAGTATCTTGATATGATTATGAGAAGCAATAAATTGTGCTCGAAACTAGGTCATCAGTAAACACTACTGTATAACACTGTAAGACTTTATCAAAACAAATTTTACTCATAATGGAACAATCATCCCTTTGTTGTGTCTACCGATTCAACTGTTAGTTATATTGACGGTCACTGTAGGAAACTGTTTTTTCATACTCAGGAACTTCCATTAGTGTGGCTAAATAAAGTTTTAATTAAAAATCGCCTACAGTTTTATGCTGGATTACTTTGTCCAACAACACATAAAACTAGCATTGATGAATCTTCTTCTATTATCTATCGGGTAGCCAGTAGATTGGCTAAGGTTTGCCAATATTAAACACTCCAAAGAGTAAGGGTGATTGCAATTCTTTCAAAATAACCGAATATCTTGGAGCAAAAAAAAACAGATTCATCCAATATTGCTACTCTTAATTTATCTTAAATTCAATTTACTGTAATGTTGATACACATTATCACTGATAAACGCGTTTGAACTGTAATCTGTCGATATTGCTGGTTCATTGTAATTTGGAAAGCATTGATGTTGTTTTTAACACTAAATGTTTAATCATTGTGGACATATAAATGTAAAGTGCGGTGGAATGCTGGCCAACCACGAAAGTGATCTCATTTTGAACCCCCGACCACAGACGCACTTCCTTACCTCACTAAGCCAGTAATAGGACTGGTAAAGAGTGAAAGTTGGACATGAAGTTGGCAACCCCAATCCCGTAAAAATAAACACCACTGCTGTTGAAGATTTAAGCCTCCAGCTTGAAGTCCTATAATCCACTGGGAACCTAACGGAATACAATATATATATATATTTATAAATATATGTATATAACTGTATGACCTGATGAAGAAGCAATAAAAAATACTCAGGTGTTGGTTTGCGGGGATTTGACTGGTTTCAGCATTTTATCATGAATTGACATCTGTTAGAGGACCATTAGAATACCTGGGAGTACTGGATAGCTGTTTCTTCCCTAGTTTTGGACTCTTCACAGTATGTACCTAGTAAAGTTCGAATCCAAGACCTTCTGGTTACAAGGCGAGGTAAAAAAGACACTGGCCATCAAGATTCTCAACTTATTGTGGAAATTTCCTTAATTTTATTTGAAATTCTATTTGCTATTACATTTTCGTGCTTATTATAATTTATGCGTCTTTAATAAACTCTAATCCCACTGATCTTACTTAGCACACCGATATTATTTAAAAAAACACCAATACTGTTAATGACAACTATTCTAGAAATATTCCATGTATATAAACACAAATATAATTGTACAGCCAAAAGAGAAAATTATCGAAAAGGATTTTCTTTGCTCAATTTTTTGTTTTTTCTAAGTGCTTGAATGAATACTTCCGATATAATTAATGATAATTATACCATAAATTAGGATAGAATTGGTAGGTAAACAATAAATCAGAATTTGGTGACAGGAATGCATCACGAGCCGGCAACATTTAGAGAACCATTGTAAAACCTGGGAGTACTGGACAACTGTTTCGTCAGTCTAGTTTAGGACTCTTCAGCACAGTGTACTCACCGACAGGGTTCGAACCCGCGACCTTATAGTAGTTCTACCTATGTACCGGTGTATACAAGAACAGTCACACTTGGTAATGCACACTGAAGTGGTCAGATTCGGTAGTTTATCTTTCACGAGGCATTGGAATTACACAATGACCGGTAAATTCTAAGAACAGTGCCATAGCAAAAAATGTTTTGGCTATCATTTTTCCGAGTTATGATGACGGTAACTAACTGATTGTATCTACTTCGAAGGTTAAGGTTATACATATACAGTTTGCAGGTATTTCTGTTTATCTATCACGGAGACGTTAACAAACCATTCTGGATATCCATTCCAATATAGTACGTTTTCTGTATTCCTTATTTCATCGTCCAGAATGTCCGTTGTAAAGAGTTTTAGCACGGTAAATCAGGATACTGATGATCTATCCTTTGTATGCACGAGAAACGAACATCCTGAAATGAGTGTATTGGCAAGCCCATGAATCTTCCAGGAAATACTCAACTTAATACTAACAACTTGCCTTCTTCCTGGCACACTATCAAAATATGACAAAGTATTGTCTTCCTCTGCTATGTGTGTGCCAACTCATTTGTTGGCTGAAAAATGTTGAGAGTCTTGGCGACCTCGGTGTCGATTTTATTCTGATGCGATGTAAGTATCATCTATGTATCTATAATAGAAGAGCTCATTGATTCCATTTCTAAATGAACGATTCTCCAGTTTTACCATGTGCATAATAGCCAAAGAACAGAGTCAATACCAAGGTCATTCTAAATACATTCAATAATGGTCACTTACAAAATGAGTTCGCTTACAGAACACAGAAAACAATATCATCTCTTGATATACTGCTAATAAAAAGGTGAAGTAACAGTATTAAGTGAAGTATTCCGCGAAAATAAATCATGGCTGACAGAGAAAATTAAGAGATATTTGACAATGCTCTCGTCTAAGTTTCTTCTTTATTAATTCACATTAGTAATATTCTATGGTATCTGCAGTGGTCTGCTTAAATAACTGGGATACCTGAATTCCTATTCGACGTAATGCATAAAATTTCCCTGTCTCGCTTCACTTTAACCATTCAGTTATGTCTCTAGGTTGCCAGATGTACTCATGCGTGTATATTCAATTGACCAACTGCTGTGCATTTTGGAGACTGAAGGAAAAATATCTTAAGTCATCGTTTAATTTTTCAGATCGAAAAGCAGTGAGTCACATAATCTACAAAACTCACTGAAAATTCTGTATACTGTGCAAACATCTTGTACAAAACAAATCTGTTATCATTCTTATTAAAAATGGAAGTTTAATTTCAACACCCTATTGCTCAATAAATATTCCAAAGAAAGTAGAAATAGATCTGATATACTCTGAGTAGGCTGATGGGTAAAGTCATGAGCCGGTCATAACCTGAATAAGAAAAGAGGGTGACATTGTGAATATCGCACGAGAACAGGATAACAGCCAATAAAAAATCGTGACGTCAGGTGAAGAGGATTGAATAGGACAGGATGAAGCCTTATTTTCCGCTTTAGAACCCAAGTGGTTAATAATATAATAATATAATCTTACTTCTTAAATTCTAATAAGCTTTTTATAAAATAATATTACGTAATCATCGTGTTTTGAGGACAACTGAGTCTGCAGACATTAATGCTGGTGAGTTCAGACGTTGGAATAACATCAGCAATGGCAAAAGTGCTCCCTAAATGAAGTGATGTTTTTTATTTCTTCGTGAAAGAAAAGAAAATAGTCAGCACCATAGATCAGCAGTCAATTCCAGAGGAGAAACATTTTCTAAATTTAAGCTTTTGCATACATTGATAACAGTGAGACTGATGAAGAACGTTATTAGTGGATATCTGTGTACACTTAAGATCTGTTATGCAACTTGGCTACATAGTTCATTCTAGCTGACAAGATTTATTGACTTGGCGGATGGAAGTCATCACAACGTGATATGTGTAACAAATATCTCATTGGTGGTTTAAATCCCTTAAACACTTTCTAAACTGCATGAAATCACACAGAGTAAGTTAAGCGCACAAACAAAAAACACCATCTGGGGAAAAACAGGTGAAAATTGAAAACGCTTACTTGTCTCAATAGTTCCGATTGTGCGAAATCCTCCATTCTAGCCGCTTCCAATACCCATACTTTAGCTCCACGCCATCTATTGCCTATATCCGTTGCCAATGGCATTGTGCTCATTACTGATGGTGAATTCAGTCTGCTATCAAAACTTCCACTATATCTACCCAGTGTATTCATAGTTACAAAATGATTGTTATATACAGCAGAGGTGAACTCGACTGTCGCATCTGTTTCAATGCTTAGAACAAATGATAATCCAACACTGATAGTGAATAAAAATGTGTAGAATACACGAAAGCATAAATATGTCATAATAAAAAATTTCTGTGAACATGTTAAGCTTGATTGTATATTGGCATTCAATAAATTTGTTGGATACACCGAGAAGGATGAATACCCTCCACGTTGTACTTTACTAACAACTGTAGTGTAATTCGTTGAAGCGTTGCGAACTACTCCATTTGAACTATGACATATCTTGACTACAGCATATATCGTCAACAAGATGATGTATGTGAGACCGATAATTAAACATGTGATTATAAACGGTAAATGCATTTTATCTGTGTTCAACGAGTCGACACGAATCGATTGATAATACTTTAGCATACTGTTATTCTGACCAGCATGCACCATTGTCGATTTGAATAATCCATCATTATTATTTAAAATTTCAAATCCTTTGGTGAGTAGATATTCAGTAAAACAATCTTTTATATGTATAAATATCAATACTGATGAATGCAATAGAATTGAATTGAAACTTGAAAAATGAATTTGTTCAATATCAAAGTGAATTTCAAAAGACTGTTCATCGGCTTCGAAATTTGTAGCTACCGTTGTCGAATTGAATACATTCGGTAGAAGAATTAAATCTTTCTCGAATAAAATATTTTTTTGTTCATTAATTCTTGAGGCAGTATCTTCATTTGTCGATGATGACAAGTGATGAGTTGGTGAGGTGTGTTTTAAGAAACCAGTGGATATTTTTAAGTGAATATAAGTTGGTTTACGTGTCACTGAACCTGACGACAAGATAAACAGAAAAATGTGAATGTTTTTTATCGTTAATAATACTATAAGAATGTAAGTATATACATAATAAAAAAAGATAAATATTCACAGCTTTCTCAAGTCTGCTTACCCATTTTTATATATTTCCTAACAATTGGTTTCAAGATTTCTACCAATAAGGATGATCCACCGTCTTTGTGTCTCTTTGCTTCTATTGGTTACTACATTTTTTATATTCTGATTGGTCGATACATTTTATTGCCTTGATACATTTTTGGTATATCGCGCCTTTTTCATTTTTTTTAATTACTTATAATACTGATGTGGTTGGTAGCGTCAGTAGCAGAATAATGCTGATCATCATTAGTAGTAGTATTGTATTAATTAAAAAAATTCTGAATATGAATTTACTTTTGTTTATATCGATTCATGGTATCCAACGGCGCACGTGAACAGCAATAAAAACCTAACAATCCCAGACATTTCAGTTACCGTTTTATTTATCCCTTCTCCGTACACCTGTGCTTAATTATTATGCCTTATTAAGTTGTATTTCAGCGTAATTCTTTTTCTTTCGGTCTTTTCTCACGCGAATATAATACACACGCAAACACATACACTGGTGATATGAAGACGGAAAGGTAGGCAAAGTGGTGAGAAGTTTTATCAAAAGAATAATAATTAATATTTAATTTTAATGGTTAAAAAATTATTATTATCAACAGTCAGAAGTGAAAAGATGAAGAAGACAGGTGAAAAGGATTGTCTTGTCCAAATGCTGAGTGTTTTGTTTTTTGATAAATAGTATTTTAGTTATATTCCTGCATATGTTTGTGTATTCTGTCTTATAAGCATTTCATCAACTAAATGGCGTATTTCATTCTAAAACGATGTATCAACTAGAGAACCCCTGAAAACCAAATGTTTCATTCGAGTTTGGGACTCTTCAGCAGTGCGCAGTCATAGGCCTATGAGATTTCAAGACTAAGGCATTCAGATTATGAGACATTGGAATACTGTCGCCCGTTGCAGATGGAGGGAAATCCTACATGCACATATATAAATCTAACTAAAAGGTTTTCTCATGTTAAACTGGGTGTTTCTGGTTAAGATAATGCATTATTTTCTCATAATGCCTTTTTCCTGGCGAACTGAACTGTTTATTTTACGTAGAAGTTATTCCAATTAACTGTCAAGTTTGAAAAGCATTCAAAAAGTTTGAATTGAAGTGTTAAAACTGTTCAGTATCTAATTGTAAGTATTAGTATAAGGTAGTGGCAACCAAACTTGGAGACAACTCATCGCGTTAAACTTGTAAATGTTGGCGTTAGGGTTTGAAGATAAGATGTTTGTAGATAATCAGCAGCAGGAAGAAATCATTTCATCCTTATTCATCATCTGAATTTAATTAGAGGACCGTTGACAATTACAGAGGACTGGACCTCTGTTGATTCCTAATTTTGGACTCTTCAGGAGCAGAAATTACACATGATTCCAAGACAGATCTTAAGACTTTCAGGTTACGAGGAGAGCCCACGGGCCACTCAGTGACCTTCGAAGGTCAAATGCTGTTATTTTGAGATGTGCAGATAAACCGGCAGCTGGTGTCATCGGCATGTATTCGTCATCACGCCTGATCTCATATGTCCCACTTATCACAACTTCTCACCAGAATAAAATTGGGTTTTTATTGCAAGACATATCTATTAGAATGAACCTTTTTAGATCGGATAAGCGTTTCAATGAACACTAACTCGCATGTCTCCAAAAAAGTGGCAGCGGCGACATATGTGGTTGAAATACTTGAACACCATTCCGTTTACGATGAAATCCTAATTCAAGGTAATCTGCAAAATGAAAAGCAACATAAGAAAGACGATAAACTTTCACCTTTTAATTCGTGAAGCTATAGCAATCTGGATAGAGCAGAGGGAGCTCTGGACACAACAATGAGAATTATTTAATCCCTTCCACTATAAAGTAATGACTCTGTTGTTTTCAATCAGTTTTTTATTTATTTTGTTTTAAAACTTATTACAGCTCAAATAATTTCTTTGAAATCCTACATATTATCAGATTTCTTTCGTCGCTGAATACATCTTGATTATAACTTATTAATTAAATAATTTAGAACCACTGAGTAACTCTATCCTCCTTTCTCAATATGTATTGATTTATATTAGCATTAGATGCATACAAAATTGTATCACTTCCGTTAATATTCACTCTTGTGAAGGTAAAATAGTTTCTCCATAAATGCGAGTATCAGCTAATGAAAGTGAAATTATCAGTGTGAGCCTTTTCGACAAACCATTAGTTTTATTTAACAGCAGTTTTTCTGAATTTTCTTCTAAGCTTGGTTACGTACGTTATGATATGTATCCATATAATATGTGTGTTTTGTTTGACAGTCTGATATATTTTGCTATGTATATATGGATCGATATTCCATTATAATTAGCCAATTACGTTAAGACTGTATTGATTTGTTCATTTTGAATATTCGCTCACACATTTGTGTTCACATACTTGTTTGGACATTCTTATATTTTGCTCTCACACTCTTGTGTGACATTTTGATTCTCCATGTGTTTGGAAAATAGAAGTATCATCGCAAGCCTAGTGGTCTTCTGATTTCCGTCTTTCTTGCGTCAGGACTATTAAATTCTCGACCACTACATAACACGTTACAAATGACCAGTCAGCTATGCTACCAGAACCAGTGGATCCCTATCTGCACCAAGCCACAGACTCCTAAACTTCTGTAGTGCCTCCAGTTTGTCCGATGGCACGTCAAACTCTGAAATCAATCTCTGAATAACATTCTTCTGCGCCATACCTAGACCCGATCCACATGGGCTTTCGTAGTTAGCCTTTGCCAAACCTCTAAGTAATGTCCTAAGCACCACTGTCTTCACTGTCGAATGATGGACTTACGAAAATACAGCAAATACTTCGAGATTCCTCTAGATGCCCGGCTTTTCGAAGGCTGCAGTTGATGAAGTCACCATCTAGTCGGAGGCGACAACACCGTATGTGGCGACAGAGCCCGGTGGTATATAGTAGCAGAAAGTTTACTTCACAGGTACTAGTCATTTCTTCTCTTAGCAGGTTAATCTGTCTTTCGTTATGCAACTTTCTAGGGGAAGATATGAAACATCACACACTACTTACAAAATTTTGTCAGTAGAAAATTACACAGTAGAACTATTAGTAGTAATCATAATCTTATTGGTCTTGGTATGAACAAAATATTAGCACAATTAAACCAGTAGTTTATTTATTATTATTAAAAATACACAATGCGGAGAGACAGGTGCTCTTTCTGAATCAGAAGTAATACGTACTACCTACTGGCATACCGGAAAACCAGGTCACGATTCCTCTTCATGATTTTTTCTGTCTATGAAAGAAAGTGATTACAAAATCAAAGTCTGCTTTTGACATGATTTCAACAATAAATAGTAAACAACATGAAACTGAATTGTTGATAAGATGTCGAATTGATTTTTTCCTTGTGTACTGAATTAGACAGCTTGATTGACTCCATGATATGATATCGAAATTCCCATTGGTATCTTATTGTTGTCATGCAATTAGGTTACTAGTGGAATATGAAAACTTCAGCAGCATAGCTACATTTCCCCTTTTTTGACAGTTCTATTTAACTGGCTTCACCATTTCTCATAAAATTTCATTCACTTCTCATACCATCTGTTCCATGTACCTCTCAGTCAAATACTCAATTCATCATCTCGCTTTCAGGTTCATGTCGAAGGCCTTCGTGTCACGTGATGTCACTTAATGGTCTACATAGCGTCTGTCCTATCTACTTCTATTTATCCCGGCATATCTGTTTGGAAGTAGGTTCTTAATTGGTTGGCTTGTTGCACTGCGAGTGTTCCTTGTCGTTAATCTTTTCTAACTATTTGATCCGAAGTATTGGGTGAAGGCAGCTGTTGTTAAGACCATTTAGTATCTATTGAGAGTTATCCCAACTAAGCATTTCATCGTGCAATTCGTCATGTCAAGCGACTAACCAACCAAGAACCTACCCCCCCCCCCGAAGAAATAGGCCGAAGGAAGTAGAGATGGATTGGACATACATCAGGGAAGACTGCTGAGTAAAATCGCGTACCACGCCGTCTAGTGCAACCCAAATTGGAAACGAACAAGTTGATTGTGAGGCCGCGGGTGCTATGGAGGGGATTGTGGAGCTAGCCAAAGAGAACTGCGATTGACAGGATAGAGTAGGGAGGTTCTGCTAGATTCCTAGGTTTCACTCAGATGCCAAGGCAGCAATAATAATGTCCTGTCACAGCTTTTGAATTTTATACCTACTGTTTTTAAGGGTTAATTAGACTGAATCGATATATCTCTGATACGAATAAAATCAAGAAAGGCATAGAAACCCGAATGAATAAATTCTACATTAAAGGTGACCAAAGTGAACAAAAAGTGGTGAGTCTATATGTCTAATTTCAATAATTCTACGCAAATACTAAAGCAAACATGAAGTTAAGACTAAGGCAGAAAAACCGCTTGTATCAATTTGTTTTGCATGCACAGATTACTGGGGATGAATGCAGCATCAACAATGCAATAAACCTGACTACATTCCGTCTTCAAGTAGTCCCTTTAACTTTGCAAATAAGTTTGAATCAGTTCGTGAGTGGTTGATGCTGAATAACATGTTGAAATATAGTATTTTTATCGGCCTGCTGTAACCATATTGCAAACATACTATTTCTTAACACTGCCGAATAAAATTCATGCTTAACCAGTAATAAATTTTGTTCCACAGTAGCAGTTGAGTTGACAGATATTTGCCTTCCATCAGTTATTCATTTTTGAAATTATTCAGCACTACCAACTTAAATTCAGTTTGTTGTCCTCCACAACTTCCCATTTCATCCTCAAATGATTCCCTTCATGTCAAACTCAGATGCAAAAGTCGTTAATTCTTATTCAGATCACTGAGAGGTCTCCACAACACATGTACAATCCGTCTTCACTTCATTCTGCATATTTATTAGCCGTTAGGCTTTTGTTTCTTTCATCTACAAAATTCGTTGTCGCTTGTCCTTTCTGGTC